ATGACTGAAGAATATTTGACACCTTTGAGTCATAGTGTTATAGAAAGTACTATTTCATTGACTACCAAAAGAACATATATGTCCCAGAAAAAGTGCAGTGAGGGAGTTCCTGAGAGGTATAGATGTCAAAGTTTTATCTCTTATATTTTGGGCATGCTGCCAGGAGAGGTTATTTCTTGAAAAACACATCATGCTTGTACATTTAGAAGGTTAACGAAAGAAAGGAGATCCCAAATAAGATGAATGGATGCAGTGACTGCATCAGTGGGCTCAATAGTATCAGAGATGATAAGGAAGCAGAAGATAGGACAGTATTCGGGCATATCATTCACATGGTTGTAATGAGTCATAATTGACTCAATAGCACCTAACGACAAACACCAAGACATATGACTGTGCAGATCATAATATATTACAACAAACATTGAGGAGGATGGGAATCTCACCAGAATTCTTGTGCTCATGTAAAACTTAGAAGCAGTTGCCTGACCAGAACAAGAGAACATTGCATGATTGAAAGTCAGGAAAGGTGTTTGTTAGGGTTGTGTCCTCTTTCCATACCTATTCAACCTGTATGTTGAACAAACAATTCGAGAAGCTGGGCTCTGTGAAGAAGAATGTGGCATCAGGAAGGGAGAATGTCTCATCCACAATCTGTATTATGCAGTAGACACAATCTTGCTTGCACCAAGTGAGGAGGACTTGAAGCATTTGGCACAAAGGATCAAGATTCTAACCATCAGTATGGATTACCTATTAATATAAAGAAAATAAAGGTCCTCACTACTGAACAAATAGGCAACATCATGAAAAAAGATTGAAGTTGCCAAATATTTTGTTTTACTTGGATCCACAATTAACACCCATGGTAACAGAAACCTAGAAATCAAAAGACTTGCTGCATTAGGAAAGTATACTCTCAAGGACCTTTCCTAAGTGTTGAAAAGTGATTCAGTCTGCTTAACGACTAAGGTATGCTTTATTTAAGCAATGACATTTTCATTGCTTCTTTTGCATCTGAAAGTTGGACAATGAATAAGGATGATAGAAAAAGAATCTATGCTTTGAATCATGGCTTTGGACAAGAATATGGAATATTCCACGGACTTCCAAAAGAGTTTCGACCTATGTTGTTGTAGTTATGTGCTATTGAGTTACCTGTGACTCATAGCAACCCGATGTACAACATAGGGTTGAACCCTGTCCCATCCTGAGCCTATCTCATCATTTCCAACAGACCCACTCTCACATCTCCAGTCACTGAGTCAATCTCATCTTGAGTCATCTTCTCCTGAATTGTCCCTCCACCCTTCCAAACATGATATTCTTCTCCAAGGACTGGTCCCTCTTGGCCATGTGGTCAAAGTATGTGAAACATAACTTCAAAATTCTTGCCTCCAGAGAACAGCTTGAAAGAGATCTACATTTATTCCTATCCCCCCAAAAGGTGACGTGACCTTTTGTATGGAAATTATCAAACTGTATCATTAATATCACATGGCAAGATTTTGCTGAAGATTATTTAAAAAATGACTGGCACTGTACATTAGCAGAGAACGTACGGTTGTGCCAGCTGAGTTTACAAGAACCTGTGGCACTTGGGAAATCATCGTCAGTGTTAGATGGGTCTTGGCTGAAAGTGGAGAGTACAAAAGAAATGTCTTTCTGTATTTCATTGACTATGCATTTGACTGGGTGGATCACAACAAATTGTGGCTAACCTTGAGAAGAATGGGAATCCCAGAACATTTAATTGTGCACATATAAAACTTATACTTGGAAAAAGAAGCAGTAGTCAGAATAGAGTGCAAGATCAAGAAAGGTGTCTGACCTTGATGGGTCCTATCTCTATACCTTTTCAGTCAATATGCAGAACAGATCATTTGTGAGACTGGACTTTATGGGAAGAAATACAGAATCAGCATTGGAGAAATACTCATTCAACAACTTGTCTATTTTGGACAGTGAAACCTGGAGCTTAGAGATATTGATGGTGAAACTTTGTCTCATGTACTTAGGTTATCTTTTGGCAAGGAGAAACCAGTTCTTCAAAAAAGACAATGTGCTATAAGTGAAAAAGTGTCAGAGAACAAAGAAGATAATCCTCAAAAAGATAAATTGACACAGTGACTGTAACCATGTTGTTGTTGTTATGTGCCGTCGAGTTGCTTGCGACTCATAGCGACCCTATGTACAACAGCCCTAAACTCTGCTCTGTCCTGTGCCAATGGCACTCAGAAATCATGAAACGGAGCATGATAGAACATGTTTGGGATGCATATTTTTCCAATTTTCCTCATTTATTTATTCTTTTTAAAATTTTTCTACTAGTTTATTTACAAAATTCAAATACAAATTTGAACAAATTCTTTTGATTTTCCTCCCCTCCCCTCCATCAAATTGTACAACCCTATCATTAATTCCTCCTTCCCCCTGCACATCCACATCCCTGTTTCCAGCCTCTCCCACCTTCCTGGATCCTTATACTCATTCTACAATAATGGTTTTATATAATATTTATGGTACTGAGTTAGTTCATTCAGCATAAT